CTGTAGGAGGGGGACAACTGAAAACGGAGGCCTCCACCTCTGTTTAATGATGGACGGTCTTTTAAGCTAATTCAAGCAGAATAGCCTATTGTCAACATAATTATGGAGTGTGATTTATTTTCAACTCAAAATATCTTCAAACTAACGAAATATAAAGTTATTAGTGAAGAAAACCTGTCTGGATAACAGCAGACTGACTGCTCGTAAAATATACGACAGGTCTGGACCACTCGTGAATTTTGTTCGTATCTGAAAAAAATCTTAGAATACGAAAACATTGGTAAATGCTACAAATTCTCCTAAATCACTCGTACGCACAACTTAAGAACAAATCCGTGCGTACGAACGGTTCTTGCATGAGGCCCAATGTCCAATAACTTCACTCTGAGTTCAGTTTCTGTGTTGCTCAGAGAAATTAGAGTCTCCAAATGGGTGTTTTAAATGTTAAAGATAAACAGGACAAGCAGAAATGTGACTAAATTTCACTGGAAGGATTGTCAAGTGTGATAAGCCTTCAGTTTGACAGGATGTCCTTGTGTTTAGTTTCTGGTTTCCTGCAGGACCTGAAAGTTGAGCCTGGGTTTAGAGAAACTGAGTATTTCATTTCCAGAAAGAGAAATAAGTGAAGTTTTAAATCTATTACAATGCTAGGGGCAATGCACAGGACGGGTCACAGCAAGGGCTGCGGGTAGCAAACGWATCAGTTTTTGTCACACAACCATATCAGCGAGACACGTTGTCCTCTATCTCATGGATTAAAGCCTTTAATTTTACAGCCTCCAGTTAAGTGAATATTTATTTTACACCGTGACTATAGGTAGCCACACAGATTTATAATCTGAGGAGACTAGATTTTAATTTCAATAGACTTGAGGTATCTTTGAGTTGACTTTGACATTTTTAATGTAAAACTTTTAAATCTCTTTGAACTTTTATATATCGCTTTTTTCCACTTTGAGCCATACGGTATTTCTTCATTTCCACATTTAACTGACTCCCATGCAGAGATAAGTACGTGCCAATGATTAAAAGTAAAGGTTTTACTTCGCAGCCTTGCTTCCAGTTGTTCAGCAGTAAAGCTGAGAGCAAAGCACAAAAAAAAGGAAAAAAAAAAAACTGCAGAGAATTTCCTCCCCGCTGAGCTTAAATCATTCATGAGGAAACATGGTTAATGGAATTAATATTTTAAAGTTACTCAGCTCCACTTTGACTCTTGCTGATGTTAAATGGTGGATTGTTAAAACATAGCACTGAGATAAAACATCATGTTACCTATTTATCTTTTTAAAACGATAAAAATATTGACATATTTCAACATATAGTCGAACGCAGATATGGCAGTAGCATTGGCACTCACTATAGAGGAAAAGGCTGGCACTCTGAGTACCCAGTCGGTTTGAGGCCACACAGGTGTAGTTTCCATAATCTTCTTCAGTGACATTAGCAATCATGAGAACAGTGGTCGTGCCAAGAATTTGGATATTGATGCCCTGGGTATTGGACAGTCTGGAAACGAGAGACAGAAAATAAACAGCATCAGACCATTTCAGGTGAAGGACAAAGCTAAACTCAGCAAAACTGCAAAGACGTTTATCAGAATTATTGAAAAGAAAGCAAAGTGTGCCATGTGAGCAAAGCTGCAGTGTCAGTACATATTTGTTTATTTCTTTACTAACAATCAATCAGGAAAGTGTTCAAAGTAAATATCCAAACACATCTAAGTTTAAGTTGTAACAATGTGGCAGCTTTTGCAAATCAATCCATTTACATAAACTATTATATTTTGCGTTCTTCACTTATGTTTTGTAAGGGGGGCTTCAATTAATTTTTTTTCAACATTTTAAAATTTATTTAGATTTTTCTTTTTTAATACATAAAGAGGAAAGAGGACAAGAGAAAAAAGGGGAAATAT